AACCCAGATAATAATTAAATTGTATACACGTATCCTGGAGATATATACACCCCCCCCCCCTCCTCCCTCCCCCAACTCAAATTGCTCAGAGGCACATTATTGAGAACATACAAATTGTTCTGTTTTGTCAAACTGATATATTTAGTTCTGTGATGTTAATATTTGTAATGACCATATCATTTCATGCAACCAATCAAACTAAGATACCATATTGATTTCTTATAGAATATATAGCTACACTGAAAATAGAAATTAAATTATATTAAATCGAGCATATATGTATGTAAATGTTTTGTGTTTCTGACAGCTGTGCAAGAAATCCAGCTTCAGGCAGTTGTTAAAGAAACAGGGTTATTGTACCTGTGTGTGTTCAAAATTGTGGCAGGTGGAAGAATACGATCAGAGATGTAATCTGGGCAGAGATTAGCCTCTTCACCCCCATTGTAATTTTCCACAATGTAGGTCTCTGATTATTTTTTCCGAAGCACCTCTTTTTATACAAAAACGAATATTGATGGGTCACTTGACTCTTCCAGAAATTTAACTCAACTCTTTTTATGATCAGTTTTTAAATGCAAGTGGTAGCCACATGGGGTGATACACATGGTGTTTGTGTATTTTGTCAAGTTTTTATTATTTCATGTTTTATAACCATGACTGTGTGCCCAGTTGCATACAATCTGAGGCTAAGATGCCTTAAAGTCCCATCCTTCAGTGAATACATCTTGGTGAAGGAAATTCCTCCTCGATCATTTCTGTGGTAAGTTTTCGTAGTCCATTGGTGAAGGAAGTCCCCTCTATTATTTGTGAGTAACGCTCCCTAGCCCATCAGTGAAGGAAATTCATCCTCGATCATTTGTATGGTAAGTCTTCCTGATCCATTTGCGAAGAAAGTCCCCTCTATCATTTATGAGTAACACTTCCTAGCCCATCGGTGAAGGAAATTCCCCCATGATCATTCGTGAGTGAATTGGTGAAGAAAGTCACCCTACACCATTTGTGGGGTAAGGCTCTCTAGCCTATTGGTGTAGAAAGTCCCCGCCATCATTTGTGAGAAAAGGCTCCCTAGCTCATTGCAAATTATGTAATTTGCAGAAGTGGGATCAAATGGAGGTTACCGATTATGCGTAAATTACAGGTCAACTGGGGTTGTCAATTAGGCTTATCTACTTCATATTTTCAGTTCTTCAAGAACGGTTTAATAATTAGCATTCACTTGTCAAATTTTCTGGTCTCTGAAGCTGCACATGTCTGATGTACTTTTCTTAGTACCTGGTAGTCTTTAATGAGGTTGATTCGCTGTGGTGATTTATAATGTTGGGTTTTTCTGTTTGTGCCAAAATGAACTATAATATATTACCTGGAATGTGCATTGTTGAATGACTCTGCTGTTGCGGTAATGGATCATGTGATGTTTGTTTTTTTGTTTTTTTAGTTTCAATACTTTTTTTTTGTCATGTCATGTCTATATATCTATATGTCTATGGCCAAGAAAATTAAATGTTACTGATCGATTTGTTTTTTTTAAATAATGCACATTTGTGGCTATTTATTTTATTGTAAAGTTTGTATTATAATTTTCAAGAAAATTTGATTTTTCTTTCATTTTTTCAAATATTTTGCGAAAAACCTGAAAAAAAGTGTTAATCACACGCTTATATTTGACATGAAGATTTCTTGAGTTTGTGAAAATAAGAAAAGGTTTTCATTTCAAAAATCCTTTAAATTGAGTGAAATTTAATACAAATTGCTGAAAATAAAAAGGAATGTTTCCCAGAGTGCTCTATTACACTGAGAAATCTGGGCAGGTTGCTGAGAAAACACTGTCTGTCAATGTTTATCTAATTCATTGTGAGATTTAGGATTACGGCAAGATGTCTCTTTAATATTTTGGTGTTAATTTGTTGCCATGACAATGATCATAATACTGATAGTAAACAATGCTATCGTCATAGCAATAATGAAAGATATATTACATCTCTTCTCACATATTCATGACATCAAAAATCAGTTCAGAGAGAATTTGCAAGCATGATAATTAATTTACAAACATGCTTTGACCCTTTGGTATTGTAAAGGTATGGGGACCACTAGGGCCCCCTACATAGTGACCCTGTGGTGAGACATAGAATCAATATTCATGGCTTAGTGCTAGAGTCTCATCACCTCACAAGATATGTAACCGATGATGGGTTAGGCAAAGGCTGGTTTCTATTTTTAAACAACTGTTGGTTGCTACTCGGGAGTGACAACATCCTTTGCTTCCTTCCTTCCCTCCTTCCAAGCACCTTCTGCTGTGCACCATACCACGTTGGTAATCCAATTCTCATGTGATTTACGTAACATGACATCTCATTATAAGGTAGATTCATTTTAAATTTTATTGGATTTATATACAATTTTACATTTTTGTGTTTCGTAATAGTATTTGTATGCATAGAAAAACCTACTGCAGGACAGCAGTCTTTTTATCAAGTATAGCACTGATTATGCCTGGAATTGGGCATTAATTAATGCTATCCCAGTATTCCTTGTCTAAAACTAATAAAATTGTTTTGAATAGCATCAGTTCTAGGCATCATAGACAAAGTGGTTAGATTAGATTAGAAAAATGTCTAATAATCAGGTTATTACCAGGATAGTGCAAAGTATGTACTCCGTCAGTACATGCATAGATCTCTGCGTTGGTCGATGTTCTCGTCTTTATACACATCTTGAGGTATTCCGTAATATCCTTGTAGTATCACATTGTATTTTTGATATGCTTTATATGTCAGTTGAAAACGTTTATTTTTGATTGTATCGATAGGAGGTAAATCAACCTCGTGCTATCATATTAAATATTCGAACTCATAGATGCAGGACATTGACCCAGTTAAGCCAATCAAATTTTTGAAAAATGTCAC